GCAATGTGCAATCTCATTTGCAATGATAAATACCCGGTCGTTTGAAGATGATTTTCAAAAGTTTGTAATACATTTTTCTGCAAATTGATGGACGATGCGCATTTTTTTGCACTTAAACTGCTTTAGTGCATATAATTGTGTGTGTACTTTAATTGGAAATTTAAAAGAGGGCGAAACTCGAACAGGCGTTTTGTACATGAGCACCCTTAACCTAGTATTTGCAGTATCTGCAGCTTCTCCCTTGATAATTTGTTGATTCATTGTTATCAGCGTTATAAAATAAACTGCACCGAACACAATAATAACACACTCAATAATTGATAAATCAAAATCATTGTCAGTTTAATAACGCAATGTGTTATAAAATTGTTGAAAAGTTTATCAGATCTACAGATGCACCCGCACTAAGCGAAAAATGTCGAATTCAAAGTACATTTGTGCGTCCCAAGCCTCAGGCGCGAAGAGGCCGGAGTGGGAGTCGCCGTGACCGAGAAAAATCGGTTCACCCTTACATAAAAAGTTATCACTTTAATAACTGATGGAGATTTGGAAAGCAATGAGAGAATAATACGAACAAAACTATTTATTCAATATCGGTAAATGACAAATAAAACAAACGTCTTGCGTCTGCTACAGCTACAGAGCTACAGAGAGTTTAACACATAATATCTTAGTCTACAGCCTGTACTTGGCAGCCCTCAACAAAGGGAAGTTATCGCTGACGCAAGTGCCCCTAAAATCATCCAGAGTGATGTCGAGCACTGCGATTCCTCCCAAACCTTTGGCTTTGGCGTAGGCGGCCTTGTTGCCGACCGTGTCGGGATCTTCAAAGCCAACCCAGATACCATTTTCGCCATTCTGGTCCGGAAGCCGATAGGCGTACGTTCCTGCAAAACCACACCACATCAACATACAAAGCTGTGGCATTCAGCCCGCACCTACCAAACCTCTTGGTAACATCGCTAACATTCCAATACCGATTCTCTTCCTCTGCAAAGAACAGAAATTCTCCTCACTTGCACTCATTCGCTTCATTCACATCTAAACATCTCGACTGCGGACTTACCGTATCTCTTTGTTGGGTCGTTGACTTTCCTCAACTTGCCCAGATATCCGGCCTTGATCTCCTTTTGGTTGGCGATTTTGTTGCAAATCTCTGGATAGCTGAGCAGGCCTGCTTCGTTCGAGTATGGGCCTGGATCGGCTGCGCCGTCGGCAGCCACCGGCGGCACTCCGGTGAATCCGGAGTCTTCATTCAGTTTCCACGCTCTTCCATACGTGGGAATACCCAATAGCAGTTTGTTGGCTGGCAAGCCTTGGTTAAGCCTGTTGAATGATTCAGTAAGTAGCCAGGTTTATAAATGGATAAACACCAGAAGCTAAGTTTCCACTTGCCAATATCTGATCTGGTAGTCGGCGTTTTCATCAAATTTCCGGCCCTCGTCAACAACTGGAAGCTCATAGAGCGGGCCTGGATAGTCGAGCTCTTTGGGGTTGCGAGCTGGGTTGCGGTAGTCGAAGGCTTGCACCGTTACAAAGTCCACGTTCGGAGCTATCTGACGAGGGTCGTAGTAGACTGGAAAAATCGTTTTTGAAAACTGGGATTTTCTGGCTTTGTTAGATGCTAACCGGTGCCGTTCACGTTGGGCAACTGAGACAGCGTCAGCAAAATCCCGTCGTGCCTAAAGGCGTTTTTGAACTCTCGAACCAGGGCGATGAATTGCTCCTTGTGCTCTTCGGCCTTCTCGTCCGTGATCGATTCGCCGGCAATTTTGTGCTTCAAATTCACAAACCATGAGGCTAAAGCGGGAAGGTGCGTTAAACAAATGTTAGCTAAAGGCGAGCGAAATTTACAGATCTTATTCCGGATTTTCCTCGGCTTGGTTTCAGGAAATTCCCATGCTAGATCCAGACCATCGAATCCGTAGGTTTTCACCAAGTTATGGGCCGAGTTTATAAAAGCCAGCCGCGTTTCCACCGACTCCAACTACGGCAAAAACATTCACATAGAAGGCTGGGCGGTCGAAGCCAAAATCGTCTGCCTTTTACCAATGTTCGGTATTTCAAATTTTTCTCGCTTCCTTCGCCTGAAACGTCCCGATTGCCACCGACGGACAGAAGGACTCTCAATCCAGGGAACCTCCGCTTCAACTCGACAATGTGCTTGTAGTTTTGCTTGTTAATGTCCAGCGACTCGTCCAGCGGGGCAATGTTGAAATTCTCCTCCTTGATACCGGCATATCCGTAGATCAAGTGGGTGCAGAACTGCAGCGCTGGATCCAGGAAGTTCAGGTCGAATTTCCCATTTCCTAAACGAAATGTAAATACAAATTTAGGCAGTTTTTGCTGATGTTTCGCTGGAAGATTTAACGGGCAACCCAGCAAATTGGCGTTTAAAATCAGAGCAATTGTTGTTGCTGAATATTGATTTTCTATCCAAGGGCGGATCCAGGGGGGGTCATGGGGGTCACTTTCTAAAAAGGCCATTTATTTATTTCTAGAATGATGTACAAATGAGCGTTCTTGGTCATTTTACCTCCGAGAAATGAGCAAAAACGGGACGGAAAACATGGAATTTTGGCATAATCTTGCACCGAAGTGTCTGATATTCAAATTTCGCTTTCTGGGTC